CAACAAATTGTGATATTACCCTAACAATCATGTGTTATTATTTAACTGTATCCTCGATGCATTTTAATAAACGACAATTTGTTTTAAATGTGTTTTTTTATGTTTGTTTTACAGACTATATTAAATATAATTATAATTATAGAGAGAGTAATGGGGAATTAACCATTAAAGTCGATGACAGAAATGAAGTTGATCGATTACCATTGCAGTTCCAAGGCAAGCCTAAAAAACCTCGTGGATGGCTTGTTGGAAAGGTTCATGACGTGGTGGGTGAATTCCCTTCCTCTTTCGCGGATTTTTCTTTTTGGCAAGGATTGTCACCACTGCCTTCAGCTTCAAATGTATGTAACAGAAAAATCTTGAGAATTAACAATAATTACTTTTATTCATGTATGTGCTTTTTATAAAGAAGAGATGAATGTATATATAACTGTTTCATAAATGTATGGCAATCCTATGGCAATGACCACTAAGCCAATAAAAGTGTATTCTCTGGATTAGAATGGAATGCTTGGGTCTCCAAAGTAAATGTTTTATAAATATTTCACATTTTTCTTAAAAACATTAATGCCTTAAAGACTGAAATTGCGCTATATAATGGGCGAAATTGGGTATAATTTGTCAATTAACACCTCACTTACCAGGGGCATTACTGCTTAGTAGATACATTAAATGTACATCATTCTTAAAAGTAATCTTAACATAATATTAAAAAATATTGTTAAAAATGGATTATGATGTCCTTACAAACCTTAATTGTCTAACTATGATACATCAAATGTAACAAACATTTTGAGAATATTTTCCTTGTACGTTCTCAATACGTTTTTCTGTTGTATTTTTAATAATTTCCAGTGACAGTTATTTATCTATTTTTTTTTTCATTTTTCAGCAGTAAATGTACATTTACAGGTACAATATAAGAGCAGTTCATTTCTGTGTTTATTTCTACTTTTGCAATATCTTACTGTACAATAAATAGTTTACCTGTTTATTTGGTTAAAGGGAATGGTAATAACTTCAGTACTGTATATGCTGCTTTTTTTCATTATATATATGATAAAATAAAATTGTTATCATACAATATGAAATAAAAATCAATGGTAGTTAAAGAAATATTTTACCAGAAATGATTTTTCACCCAAGATTTAGCTAGAAGAATTGGTATAATTTGATCTGCTACAGGCTCTTTCAAAGAGACGAAGATAAGAACCTCATCTATAAGAGGAACTAAGAATTTAATTTCTTTATTAATTTGTTTCAATAATTAAGTCAAGCAATTGAAATTGTTGACGATAACAGTATAGTTTAACCATAGACCTTAGAAAACAGGGACATGCCTTTCATGTAACCTTAGTTATAATTCTCTACCCAATTAACACCTTAGTGAAACTGACAATAAAGCTATGTCAACACCACTGTTAGATCCTCTCCTCCTCCCATAAGCCAAACATGGCTGCCAGGGTGTAGCTACACAACATGAGTCAACTTTGTGGTTAGAATATAATCAGAAAAAATACATTTGATTAAAACTGAATAGCCAAGTCCATTTTATTGATACAAGTGAAACTAACAATTGCAAAGTTTTTATTCCACTATGAAAACAGGAAAGGGAAATAAAAATGGTCAGTTTTCTCTACAAGAAAACAAAACTGCCTAAACGTAAACAATGACCTGTCAAAATTTGTGTCAAGTGGATTTTTCATCATATTTAGAAGAGATATAGCATAGTGCACCCGTTATACACTGACAAATGTGAATATTGGCACAGCATAACTTATCAAACATATAAAAAAGCGTAGAAAGGTAAGAACTAAAACTGTTTCAGATGTATACGTATATTTATTAATGGAATTATCTATACAGGAGATTATAACCCACGTTGCACACAGGAAAATAGATTTTCCTTTGTCTCAGAGAGAAGTTGCATGTCCCTGTTTTCTAAGGTCTATGGTTTAACTTACATAATTGATTAAAATATATTGTATTTAAATATCCTAATACATAAAAGTAATCAATATTTCATTTTTATTTGCATTGTACTGACTTATTTAAACCCGTTTTTCACATATAGTTTATAACTCTTTGAGTTAGGCAAAACAATTTTGTACTGGTATTGACAAAATTTGTCCAGTGTGTTAAGCTGTCTTCTTTAAAATTATTTAATGCTTGATGTGGATGTCAATAAATGTATTGATGAACATGTAATTTAGCAATTTAGTAGTAGGGTGCTGAAATATGTACGTTATATGTACTAACTGGTCATTTTACTTAACTAATTGTTTGTAAATCTAATTTCCAGAATTACACATATTTACTAGTCATTTTGTACACATATAAATGTATTTGACACATGATCTCATTAATTTTACACACAGATAATTTAAAGAGATACTCATGAGTATAAAAATCTGGATAAATTGCCCTGGCCATGTACCTTATATGTATTTACAGGAATAATTAAACATTTACCACTAACTGGATATTGTTTATAAAGATTTGAATGAATGCGAGCTCATTAATTATGCACATATCAAATTATAATGATTATGATATTAATGACAGGTATCACATTCTTTGATCTTGATATTATAAAATATAATATGGTCATGTGACCTTTATTATTATAACATCACGTATTAATTTAATAAAAATATTGATTTTCAAATG